TCTGCTCATACTCTCCAGTGGTTGTAAAAAGGCTGTTTAATTTGTTGTCTTCTCTCGGCGAACTTAGCCCTAGGGGGTCAATCCTAAAAAACTGTACTAAAGAATTCAAGAAAGTGTGTGTATTGGGGAAGATAACAGCAAAAAGTACAAAATGGTTTACATGAAACTAGAAAGTCTTTTGGGGTTTTAGAGTGATCCTGCAACACTAAAAACTTTTCATTGTGGTTTTGGAATACTAACACAACCAACAGCAGGCGATAAAACTGTAAGAAGCCATTTGGTTGTCAAGATTTTTATACTACTACTACTGCTGTACCAGCTATATAGAACCCCAAATATTTTCTGCAATTCAGACTTTAGAATTGAAGTGAAGCATTGAAATGAAGCTGGGCAGTGGTGGTGCATGCCTTTAAGCCCACACCCAGGAGCTGTAGAGGCAGGTCTACAGAGTGAGTTCCAGAATAGCCAGGGCTACACAGAGAAAAGCTGTCTTGATAAATCAAAAAATAATTGAAGTAATGCATACAGACTTCAATATTTCTAATGCCTTTATTTTGGATCATGAGCTAATAATGTCTCTTGCTCAATCAATGCTAAATTAATTATAGAACTATGTTCTCATCCTTGGAGTTCAAGGTTGTCACTGTGTAAGCACATTCTTGGAGGAGGAGGTGGTGGTGGTGGTCTTGTTGTTGTTGTTGTTGTTGGTGGTGGTGGTGGTGATTCTCATTGCTTTTGTTTTTGAGACTAGAATTTACTCTCCAGCTTGGCTAATCTAGAACTCACTGTGTAATCCAGGCTAGGCTCAGGTTTGCTGTAGTTCTCATCCCACAGCCTCTCAAGTGCTGCTAATTCCTAGTGTGAGTTAACCATGCCTGGCTCTTTTGGAGTGGCTGCAGAGATGAATGATCAGTAAAGTGCTTTTATGTCAAGCATGTAGACCTAGGTTTTGGATTCTAGTTCATGTCTATAAACATGGAGAGAGTAGAGACAGGAGGATTCCTGAGGCTGAGAATTCTGGGTTCACTGAGAGACCTGGTCTCAAAAAATAAGGTGGAAAGCAGAGAAGACACCTCAGGTTGAACTCTAGTATCTACATGCCAGTTTGAACACACACAAGATACAGTCATGTACAAACATATATATGAACACATATTCACACAATAAAAATAAAGAAAAGCATAGATTTTAGAGTTAGGGTTGTAGCTTAGTGACAGAGCATTTGAGAGCTCATGGATTCTGTTCTCACCAATACAAAAACAAAGCAATAAGTAGAAAAATATAAACAAATTCCAGTTTATTAGCAAAATATCATTTGCTATTTTTGGAAATATGGTTATCTGGCCGGTAAGATCCCTTAGCAAGCAGGGCTCTGGATGTGGACTAGATACTCTCCTCCTTTCTTTAATTTAAGGTGGATCCCAGGACTCAAGTCACCAGCTTGCAGGGCAAATGCCTTACCCACTGATCCAGCTAACTAACTGTTCACAGGTCATCTTTTTAAAGTTGGGCCTAGTGAAAGACACAACAAAAATGTTCTTAATAGTTTAATAGAAATTAAATAAAAATTTCTACACTTTGAAAATAAGGAACTGAATTCAGTTCAGTGTTTTAAAAAAAGTTGGCTCTTCGAGGTAATGCACATATTTTTGCTACTGCTGCTTGCCCTTAAAAACATTTGATCATTACAAAATGTTACTTGGTTATTCTTTTTATGTTACTAAGTTATTCTTTTTATGACTTATTTTATGTGCATTGGTGTTTTTCATATGTGTCTGTGTGAGGGACTCAGATCCCCTGGAACTGGAGTTACAGACAGGTTGTAGACACAGCTGTCATTTGGGTGCTGGGAATTGAACCACTGAACCATCTCTCCAGCCCCTCTAAGTGATATTTTTTACAATAGGATCAGTCATTGATTTGAAATGAATAAGTAAAAGGATTTTAAAAAACATGGTGCAACATCTTCCTATATATATTCTTTGGTGTCCTTTTCCCACTGATTTTTCCTTGGTTCTGTAGTTACTTTAATAATGTTAAGAAATTACTGCTTCAGGCAAGAAGTGATTTCATCTTCAGGTTGTTTTGTAATTTGGCTCTCTTCTGTGAGTTAACTCTGGAGAAATTATAAATGATGGTTCTTTTGAGGCTTTTTGTTTTTTCTGGAATTCTTTTTCAAAGATTGGTTTAGTTATGTGCAGAAGGATAGATGTTGGTGACAAAGTCTTTTAAAAGGAAGCAAATATCTGAGCAGAGCTACTTAGAGTTTTACTCACTCTTAACAGAACTCAGTTCTTTAAGTGCCGAAGATCTACAGGTGTTCTCTAGACTATTTTAAAGTGGTCTTGAAACCCTGTCAGCCAGGCTCCTTATAGTTCTTTTGTGAGAAAAAAAAATTACATGGTCAGTGTCTGGTTAACCCCATCCAATCTTTGCTGTGATTTATTTAATAATCCCATCTTGAACTCTGAATATTGATTTGCCAGAAAGATTGGAAGCTAGAGTTAGTTTTCTCCCTTTAAACAAACTGACATACTAGCCCATCCCCCACCCCTGCGTTAATGAAGAAGAGATTGTTCATGTTCTCAAGTAGCAGTATAAAAATGTCACACCCCGTCCTGACCAGCGCAAAAGCAGCTGCTATAGCACAAAATGTCCTTCCTCTGTCCTCACTGAAATCGGGGGAGGGACAAAGCCCAGTTAGTACTTTACCCCCATCCTGTCTGCCTGCTTAAGGCCTGTTTCCTACCCTAATGGTTTCTGCCTAACAAACGGTGTTTCTTTTTTACAGCATTTTGATCCTGGACTTGTTGTGGTGATGGTAAACTTAGCAGTGGTAATTTTTTATTTTCAGACTGAATTACTCCTTTTGTCATCAGTGCACCAATATGTTAGGCTTACTCTCTCTGTTGTAGCCTCATCCTTCTGCTTGGTCTTTTCATTTTCCTTTCCTTTCCTTATGCAACTTGTCTGATCCTTGTTCATTAAAGGGTAATGTTAAGAAGGGATGTATCTATGTTAGAACTGCCAAAAAGAATCAGTTAGAATATTAAATTCTAATACTGTCAAAAAACCTGATTTCCCCACCCCCAGTGTAATGGGCACTAGCACTTGCTACTGCAATTTATAAATAAGTTAAAACAATCTTTGACTGCCTTAGAAGGCAAAAGTACTAATGCAGAATTTATAAACAGGGGTTTACAGAGGTAATCAATCTGTACCAAAACTTTGCTGATTCTTCCAAAATAAATTCTGACCAGTAAAAAAATATTCTAAAATAAATTTCTTTGATGTTTCTTTTCAATTGTTTCATTGGACTATTTGTTTTTACCAGTAAATCCCTGATTGAGACGTTATGAAAGTGATATTGCACCTAGGAAGTCATTTTTATAACCTGTCTTTATCTTGGTCCTTTTGCTAAAGATTGCAGTCACTGCTTATTTATTATACCATTGGGCAGAAGGAACACTGCGTTTTCGTCTTGTTTGACTGGCAGTCTCGGAAATCTCCAGCAGAACACGGTGTTCTGTAAGCTTTTATTTTCCTGACAAAAGATTTCCATTTTTACTTGGGTAGGGTTTTTGTTTTGTTTTAAACTATGATAATATTTGCTTGTTTTTAACCTATTTATTGTTTAAAAACAATAATGGGATCTTGTTGATAAGCAGCTAAACTTCTAATTGTCAATAATGGAATATTGTTGACAAGTAGTTAAACCTCTGGGTTTGTTTTTCAGTATGATTTAAAGATGCAAACATACTAATTCCATAAATATATAGTGACCAGACACAAGCGTTGCTGGTTATTTTCTTTTTTTCTTCAGGATCCAAGCAGACCAATTATTCAAAAATTTTTCTTTGATAATACCTAAGATTTAGCCTGACAAAACTCAAATTTCTTGCCCAAAGGTATAATATATATATATATGTGTGTGTGTGTATAACAACAACAAAAACCACAAAAAACAATTGTTTACACCAGCCTGAGTGAAATGATGAGGGAAGTAAACATTGTGTTTTTTCACTGAAGGTGTACACTGGGTAAGGTAAGTCCTTTGCAGTTACATCACAATGTACAGCACAAGTTGTGATGTAAAACAGCTGTGGTAGTAAAGTGCTTGTCTGCCCCATTTGCTTTGTTTGGCTGGTTATGAGTGGATTAAGTATATATTTATTTTTTAAAAATCTCCAGCATAGATCAATTAGTTGAAAGTCAATTTTCTTCGCAACTAGTCCTTTTCACAGCTTACCAGTTACCATCCACAGACAGTGGTAAATCATTCTCGGAAATGAGATCTCAGGCACCAGTTTTAAAATAAAACCAATCTTGTCTCTAAGGGCAAGTAGCTGTTGTTTTTTTATTTAAGTGTTTCATTTGATTGGAAAGTATCTCTTGAAAAACAAAAATTTTACAGATGTTGGTTAATAATTGTATCAGTTTCCTCTGTTTGAAATGCACGCTTTTTTTTGTCTTATTTAAGCAGTTAAGATATTTATCACCAGTTTTAAGGGTGACGAGATGTCTGGACAAAGTTGTGCTAAGGATTGCTTCTTAGGCTCCTTTAAGAACTGTGGGCATGGTGACTCGTGCCTGTAATCCCAGCATTTGGGAGCTTCAAAGTCATCCTCACCTTCATAGTGAGTTTGAGGCCAACCTGGACTACATGAGACCCTGTCTTATAAAAACAAACAAAAAAAAAGGAACTTCTAAAGTTTTTAGTTGTAAACCTTCTGGTGCTATTGATGTTTCCCATTCATTTACTTAGCTTTGCCACAGTTACCTGGAGTTCTCTCCAGCTAGGAGGTCAACCAAAGTGGTTTGTTGGGTTTAATTCAGGAAAGGAAGGATTGGATGTAAGCTGTGAGAATGGCTTTTGTTTGGTTCACTGTAGCTTTCTGGTCTCTGCACTCCAAGGCAAGATCTAACCACCCAAACCTAATGTTTAAAGTGAACTGTTAGCCTAATTTATGTCTCAACTTGATTCTGTGTTCCTGTTACAGGGAGAACAGATCCTATTCCAATCGTTGTCAAGTATGATGTCATGGGCATGGGTCGCATGGAAATGGAGGTAAATTGGTCTCATTAAGCAGCGTTAGTTTTATGGAATATATAAAATTGCCATTAACTTCAAACTCAGATATCAGCATAAGCATATATTTACCAGATGAACATCATTTTAATTTTTCTTTGGTCAATTAAAATATGTATTTTATGTTTTCATTCTGGGCTATTTTTGAAGCACAGAAGATGTAAATACCCCTGTTTTAACTGGTGTATAAACATTGCATTTTCCCAGGATTGTACAGAAAGACCAGGTGAGGCTCTGGCACTTGCTTTAATAGACAGAGTTGTTCTGTACTTAAAAGACTGGTGTGGTAGACGTTCTGCCCGTGTAGAGTTGTGCAGTTAGTATCCACTATACCTTCTTTTTACTGTCTGAAACATTGGTGGTGAACATCGAACTGCAGTCTTGTTATCAACAGTTGTGTCTATTAGGACTGCCAGGAGAGGGAGTAAGGAATTCACTTGGCCTGCTGTTTTCTGTGATACAACAGTGAAGCAAAAGCTAGTTGAGAAAAGCGCCAGCTTCTTGCTTTCCACCAGCATTGCACTTGTGTAATGGCAGTTCTCTAGCTAACTCTGGGTGCTTTAGGAAGTAAGAATAACTGTACCTGTTTTTGTCAAGCTGGATTATGCCGAAGATGCTACCGAAAGGCGTCGTGTCCTAGAAGTAGAAAAAGAAGACACAGAAGAGCTGAGGCAAAAGTACAAGGTATCTTAAACCAAGTCACTGTTGTTTGAGAACGTCCATACAGAGAAGAAGTGTTCATTTTAGGGGAGAAGGGTCTCCTTAACTGACAGCATTCATTTACATTTGGTGGTGATTTGTGTTAATCTCAGTTTGTAGTTACTTTTTATTTACTGCTGCAGTAAAAACTGTGTGTGTTGGAAAAATTGCATTGTGTTTGAAAAAACTAGTCCCAGGTTGTACACAGAAAGTCAGGTAGTAGCAGGAAAAAAAAATGGTCACTAGTCTTTGGAGGTTTTCATTAAAAAAAAAAAAAACAACATGGATGAGGGTATTTTTGTGGGGAGGGCATTCATTTTTATGTAATGCCATAGTGTGCATAGAAATCAGAGAACAACTTTCAAGAATTGGTTCTTTCCACCCAAAGAGCAAACTCAGATCTCTGACTTGGCAGCAGGTGATCTTGCCTGCTGAGCTGTCTCACCAATCCTTGAACAATGTTGGGTTTTTTGTTTGTTTGTTTTTAGCAAATTAGGAATTCTTTTTCATTGTTAATTATACTCAGTCCTACAGCACAGATTTATCTTTATCTCTCCATGTGGACATCAAGTGGAATTCTTTTTCTTTTTTGTTTGTTTTTTGAGACAGGGTTTTGACTGTGCTGGAACTTGCTTTGTAGATCAAGCTAGCCTTGAACTCAGAGATCACTTGCCTCTGCCTTCTGAGTGTTGAGATTAAAGGTGTGTGCCACCATGTATGTGTATGTCTGTGCCACGTGTACCTGGTGTCCTCGGTTCAGAAGTTACCCTGAAACTGAAATTGCAGGTGATTGGGAGCCACCATGTTAGGCTCTAGGAAGCAAACCTTGATTCTCTTTAAGAGAGGCCAGTGCTTTTAAATACTAAGCCATCTCTCCAGTCCAGAGTAGTTTCCTTTTCATAACAAACTGTAGTTTGGAACAAGCAAGTTAGCATTCAGAAAGGCTAACTAGGAAACATTCCTTTCAAGGTATTATAGTATGTCCAGTATTTACCATAAAATGAACAAATTAGAAGACAAGAAATAGAAATAGACTTCATTAAGAGTATCATTTAGAAACTTTTTTCGTTGTGATACTTAAGGTGAAAAACAGGGGAGGAGGTTAAATACATTCTACCATTTAAAGGGGAAGTAAGCACTACTTTGAAGTGCTTATAAATTTAGCCCATGTATCTAGACTTTTCATATGTGTGGAAAAGAGAAAGGGTGACATCCTAATCAGAGTCCTTAACAACCTTTGTCAGTCTTGGAAACCCATAGGTTGTTATTTTCTTCCATTGTTAAGATAGATGACAGTTGAGTGAAATTAAATAAAATAACTATCATTTTACAGGCTTAAAGATAGGAAAAAAAAAACCAACAACAACAAAGATTGAGGAGATAGCATACCTGTGAGGACTCCTGAATATCCTGAAGTCCAGAATATTCAGTCATAGTGGAACATGCCTGTCTTCCTAGCATTCAAGACTACTAGACATGACAGCACACACTTGTAATCCCATGCACTTGGGAGGAGAAGGCCAAAATTTTGAGCACAACACCTAGCGTCACACAATGAGATTGTCTCAGAAAAGAAAAAAAAAAAAAAGATGCTTAGGAGATAGTTCAGTGTGTAAAGCACTTACTACAAAAATCCAAGGCCTGGGTTCATGTTACAAAATACCAGATGTGTCAGTACATGCCTGTGATCTCAGTGATCTTGTGGGGAAATAGAAGGCAATGACAAGATGATCCCTGGAAACTTGTAGACCATGCACCTGGTACAGACAGTGATAAAAGAGAGACCTTCCCTAAACAAGGTAGAAGTAAGAATAGATACTCGAGGTTGTTCTCTGACCTCCTTGCACTCAACATGGTCCACATATACACAAACAAATACTTTTAATTATTTTTTTAATATGTAGAGAGATGGCTCAGTGCTTACGAACACTGAATGCTGCTAAAAAAAAAAGAACGCTGACTCTTCTTCCAGAGGACCTGGGTTCAATCCCCAGCACCCACATGGCAGCTCACAACCATCTGTAACTCCAGCCCTAGGAGATCCAGTGCACTCCTTTATCTTCCACAGGCGCTTCATGTGGTACCTTGACACATTCAAGCAAGCACTCATACATGTGAAATAAAAAAAAAGTGAAATATTTTTCAAAACTAAACGGAAAACTTGAAAATGCTTGCTGCTATTTTGGGATTTGAGTGCTACCTAGGTTCACTTTTATTTATGTATTTACTTATTTTTTTATGGTTGTTGTTTCAAGACATGGTGGTGTCTAGATACAGATTTTTTTTCTTTTTTCTTTTTTTTTTTTTTTTTTGGTTTTTTGAGACAGGGTTTCTTTGTGGCTTTGGAGGCTGTTGTAGACCAGACTGGCCTCAAACTCACAGAGATCCATCCACCTGCCACTGCCTCCCAAGTGCTGGGATTAAAGGCGTACGCCACCAACGCCCGGCCAGATTTCTTTTTATGTACTTAGCTTGGAAGACTTTAGGTGTTCCACATTTGTACTTAGTACAATATTCCCAACCCCTAAGGCGAGGGGTGCAGGTGTCTCATCTATTCATAGAGATAAAAGACACCAAGCCCCACTGCTTCTCTGGCAGAGTGTATAGGATGTCAGACAGTCACCTTACCACTGAGTGTCCTCTAAGCTAAGTCCTTGTGAGTCCCTTCATGACAACTTCAGGCACAATTAATTTTATTTATCTTTTCATCTTTTTTGAGACAAAGTTTCTCTGTGTAACACTCCTGAATGTTCTGGAACTTGATCTGTAGACTAGGTTGACCTCTGCCTCCCAAGTGCTGGGATTAAAGGCATGTGCTCACTGTTATAATCCCAACATTTGGAAGGCAGTAGCAGGTGGATTTCTGGCTGCCTGAGAGTAAGTTTCTATCCAATGAGGGCTTTACAGGAAGACCCTGTTTCCAAAACAAAGCAATGGTATCTTCTCTGAAGTTATTAGAAGTGCTAAGAGTGGAACTAAAAATGTAGTTCAGTCGTAGAGTGTTTGCCCACCCTACATGGGAACCCGAGTTTGATCTCCAGCACGATCTAAACTGGGCAACATGGTGTGTGCCTATAATCCTAGCACTGGGAACTGGAAACAAGATGAGCAGTTCAGGGTCATCCCTGGCTATGTAGCAAGTTTGAAACCAGTGTGGAATGTATATACCCTGTCTTAAAAACAAAAACAAAACATCAACAACAAAAAATGGACAAGAATAAATATTTCTGCTTTGTTTCTAGTTCCAAGAGGGAACTTTAATTCTTTCACCATAGTGATGTTAACTAAGTTTTTCTTTTTCTTTCTTATTTTCTGCTTTCCAGGGAAGGAGGGAGATGGGAGAAGACAAAGTCCCACTAATATAGCTCAAGCTTGCCTGAAACCATGTAGTAATTAGTTTATGTTCTCCCTCCCAAGCTTCCCAAGGGCAGGAGTCAGTAACAGATGGCTAACTGGGGGGGGCTTTTGATGGATACTCTGTGCCCTGCTTGTTGATGTTCATACCATGGAAGAGAGATTAGACATTGCTAGGTATTTGTTTGTATTTTAATCAGTTAAAATAATCATGTAGGATTTCCTCCCTTTAGATATATTGCACTGATTGAATTCTTTTTTATAGTGAACCTTGAGTCTTTTGGATAGATCTTACTCTTCTTGCTGTGTAATCCTGCTTAGTATATGCTCTAAGCCAATTGCTGGTTTAAAAGTAAAAAATAGGGACATAAAGCTGGGTGGTGGTGGCCACACCTTTAGTCCCAAGCACTCAGGAGGCAGAGGCAAGTGGATCTCTGTGAGTTTGAGGCCAGCCTTGTCTACAGAACTACACAGATAAACCCTGTCTTGAACAACTTGGAGGAAAAAAAAAGGAAGGACAAAATCGGGCACCTGCTATTCTCAAAGAAGACCTGAATTCAGTTCCCAGTACCTGTGTGGCAACTCACAACTGCCTGTAACTCCATTTCCTGGGATTTGATCTAAGTCCTGGTCAGCTTAGTAATCACTATGTACCAGCAGTATCTTTGAACTCAAGGCAGTCTTATCAGCCTGAAGTGTATTATGAGCATATACCAACACTGTGCCTGGTTAAATTGTGCCTTATATTGAATCTAGTTGGTTTTTGGTTAAAGACAAAATAAGGAATGGTCTTGTCTACTGTATAGCTAAAAGGGAAATAAAATTGTACTCTCTTGAACACTTGTTAGTGTTTATACAAAGTGTTGTCCTTCCAAATTGCCCCTTGAGTTTTATCCAGCATTTATCAGGGCCATTGAACTTTATGGAAAGTTATTTTACTCACTACTTGAGTGATAGCTGTCAAAATCCTACATTTTTTTTATTTCTTGTTTGTGTTTTGTGATTCTTTCTTAACAGGATTATGTTGACAAAGAAAAGGCAATCGCAAAAGCCTTAGAAGATCTTAGAGCCAACTTTTACTGTGAACTCTGTGATAAACAGTACCAGAAACATCAGGAATTTGACAACCACATTAACTCTTATGATCATGCACACAAGCAGGTAAGGGATAACTACTTGGTACCAAGGAAAACTATTTTTAATTGTTAGAACCATTGATGTTGATGAGTGTGACTGATACCTTGTGTCAGCCAGTCCTTATTTTTGGCCCTTCATAGACTAGATTTTTTTTCCCTCATGGGAGTTATCCTAACATATATACCCTCTTCTCCCTGCCACTCCATCACCATTTTAAGTAGAGTAATAAATTGTGAGTTTCTTAAACCTTAGATGATGTTTGTGATAATGGCTGCTGTTTCCTATCAGTAAGTCATTTGTTATTCAATATGTCTTGGAAAGGGAATAAATCCTGAAGAAAAATAAAATTAGATAAATTAGATATGCTGTATCTTAGCAACAACACCCCCACACCCCCCACACCCCACACCCCACCCCCGTCTTAATTAGAGTTTCTGTTGTAAGGAAACACCATAACTAAAAGTAACTTGGGGAGGAAAGGGCTTATTTTCTTGGTAACAGTTCATTACTGAGGGAAGGGAGGGCAGGAACCTGGAGGCAGGAGCTGATACAGAGGCCATGGGAGAGTACTGCTTACTGACTTGTTCCTCATGGCTTTACCCAGTTTGCTTTCTTATAACACCCAGAACCACATTCTTAGGCTCTTGGTAGTTAGTTATTTCAGTTAAATTGTTTTCAAACAAGCAAAATCTTTCTAAATGGTTCAGGAACTCCCTATGTAGACCAAGCTGGTCCTGAGTTTGTGGTGGCCTCCTGTCTACCCCACACATACCCACCCAGTGTTAGGATTGCTGGGCTATCTCCCCAACTCTCAAGAGTTGCTTTTTTAAGAGGAAAGACATAGGAAAATACTTAGGAAAAGTGCCAAACTAATAAAATTCCTATTGATATTAATACCTCAGTGATATAGCTCTCAACTTAAGTGTAATAGAAATTGTTAGAACTTTAATTGTTGGATTTTGACATTCTCATTCATTCTCCTATATACCTTATGTTGACCGATTTCCTTTACTACTCTTATCAATTACAGGAGTTATCAACTTGGAAATAACTCTCTCAGGGCGCACTAAGCAGTTGTTGTCTGGATATAATTCAGGCTGCCTTAACTAGGAGGTGGTACTTTGGGGGATCAAATTGAGTGGGATTCAAAGATACTGTTAAATATTTGAGTGCACAATGCCTCAAAATAAATATTGGAGTCACTGGTGTTGAGGTTAACTATTGAAAAACCTTCAAATATGTGATGTTATTATTTCATACTTGCTTAGCACAAATCATAATCATTTTACATCTGTGGTTATCATAAACATTTATAAAGAGCCGATCTAGTTCCAAAATGTTTACTTGCAATTGTTTTTATATGATCAAAATAAAAATATAAAATTAAGAATTTGGGGATGAGGCTGGAGAGATGGCTCAGCAGTTAAGAACACTGACTGCTCTTCAGAGGACCTGGGTTCAATTCCCAGCACCCACATGGCAGCTCAGAACTGTCTGTAACTCCAGTTCCAGGAAATCTGATATCTTCACATCAATGCACATAAAATAAAAGTTAAATAAAAATAAAGAATTTTGGGTATCTGGGGAGATGGTTAGACGTTAAAGCACTTTCTGTGCAATATGAGGACTGAATTGGATCTCTTACACCCATGTAAAAGTGAGGTGGGTATGGTAGCACATGTGTGATCCCAGGAGACGGGCTCCCAGGAGCAAGTTGACTAGCCAAAATGGTGTCAGTTGGAGACCTCTGCCTCAGAATATCAGGTGAGAAGTGACTAAGGAAGACCCCTCCATCAACCTTGAGCCTCCACGAGCACATGCACTATAAACATAGAATACCCCTCCTCAGTTTTTTTTTTTTTTCATGAGGCTTGGTAGGTTGCTAGGTACCCATGCACAAAGCAGACATGGCAGCCTGCACATAATTTCTGCGCTGGCATGGCAGACAGAATTATACTAGAGTTTCCAACCTAGTTGGTTAGAGGTTCAACAAGGGATCATGTCCCAAAAAATAAGGTAGGAGGTGATAAAGACAACTTACACCAACCTCTATACATACATGTATAGTTCATAAAATTGTGATTTTCTTACAGAGAACTCATGAATACTGTCGACCAATATAGAGTATGTTTGAGAGCCCTGATTTGGAAAGATCTTTAGCTGTGTGATCCACAAATACATATTAGTTCATTCCTTCACCTGAAGTACACTTTACGGAGGCTGGAGAGATGGCTCAGAGGTTAAGAGTTTTGGCTGCTCTTCCAGGGGTCCTGAGTTCAATTCCCAGCAACCACATGGTGGCTCACAATCACGTACAATTCAATCTGATGCCCTCTTCTGGCATGTAGGCAGAACACTATATATGTAATAAATAAATAACTCCTTAAAAAAAATAGTAGGCCGGGCGTTGGTGGCGCACGCCTTTAATCCCAGCACTCGGGAGGCAGAGGCAGGCGGATCTCTGTGAGTTCGAGACCAGCCTGGACTACCAAGCGGAGTTCCAGGACAACCTCCAAAGCCACAGAGAAACCCTGTCTCGAAAAACCAAAAATAAAAAAAAAATAGTAGTACACTTTATTAAAAGAACCTAGGCGGGGCTGGGAAGATGGCTGAGTGGTTAAGAGCACTGACTGCTCTTCCAGAGGACCTGAGTTCAATTCCCAGCACCCACATGTCAGTTCATAACTGTCTGTGGTTTCACTTCCAGGGGATCTGGCACCCTCACACAGACATACATACATGCAGACAAAACACCAAAAAAACATAAAAATAAATATTTATAAATAAATCAATACCTCAGTTTTTAGTAGGTAGAGGCAGGAAGATTTTGAATTTAAAGCCAACCTGAGCTACATAGAAAGAAGTTTCTAAGCCAGGCGGTGGTGGCGCACGCGTTTAATCCCAGCACTCGGGAGGCAGGGGCAGGCGGATCTCTGTGAGTTCGAGGCCAGCCTGGTCTACAGAGTGAGTTCCAGGACAGCCTCCAAAATGATACAGAGAAACCCTGTCTCGGAAAAAAAAAAAATTCTGTCTCTGAATACAAAAGAGAACACTTGTAGTATATATATTTTTGTTTTGTTAGAATGTTACTCTTTTTGTTGAAAAGCAGACCATATCATTTCTTCATATTCTTGTCTTTCTACAAATTGTAGAATCCTAAAACAGTACATTATATATCAACAAAAATGTCTTAAATTTTTATTTTATAATTAAAACTGTTCTCTCTACTCAAATTCCTTCATTCCTTTCTTCCTGTCTTTTTTTCTTTTCGAGAGAGGGTGTTAACTGTGTAAAATAATACTGGCCTCAATTTGTGATCCTCCTGACTTAGCCAGCCTCTAGAACGCTGTAGTTAAAGGCTTATCTATTCCCTCCCTGACCTGAGTTTAAAATTTGTAGAGAACTATTAGTTGACTTTGGTAAAGTTCAGCTAAATAATAGGAAATAGGATAGTGTATTTTATTCCTCTTTAGTGGGCATGAATGTACAACTGGGTCTGCCATTTTCTCCAAATTGGTGCTCTAAAGTTACAAAGGTATCCCATGCTGTCCTCCAGCAAGACACATAGGACTATTATTACTATTATGGCTCTGAGGTCAAAGGTTAGTACTTATTCCATGTTAGTTATTCCTAGCTTACATCAAACTTTGGAGAAAACCTTTATTAGAGAAAAACTTTGTTAGTAGTAAACTAAAATAGGCAGCTCCTGGGAAATACTTTTACCTTGTTTAAGGTACAATTTCCAAAAAATGAAGCATCATGGTTACTCTCAGTTGTGTGTTTTTTTTTTTTAAAGGAATAGGATATTCGGAAAGTGTTAAATGTCTCTATTTACTAGCTTTTCTCAATTTTCTAAGATTTTGAGAAATAATTAATACAAAAATATTGAGACTTTGTTTAAAATTTCTAAATGTTAAAAGTTAGGCATTTTGATTCTGATTCTTGTGCTCTGTTTTATTACCTTTGAAATCTCCAGTGATGAAGACAGCCATCCTTGAAGAAATAACCCCATGTGTGATTACTTATTAAGTTCTGACATGCCTAAGTGCTCAATAAACATCAACACTGATCAAGTCAGAGGCTTGTTGGCTTAGTTGTAAGCTACAGTTAAATTCAAAACTAAAGGTTTTTCCAGACCCACTCACTGCCCTTTTAATTATCCTACATATCTTTTTAAATGTTTGTCTGTGATAGATGTAAAATGTCAAATTCAGATGCAAGGGATCTTCTCCCAGAGGGAGTCTATAGCAGCGCCAAGCTGCAGATCAGTGTTAGTGCTGTGTCCAAGGCCCTGTGTTTGCTCTCTAGTACTGCAAACAAGAAACAGATATAAAGTCTTTTACTTTAATACTTTTTTCTTTAACCTCCGGTCTTACCTTCAGTTTGTGTCACCACACCTCCTTATAATAAATACAGTGAGCAGATGATCACAGCTTATCTCAACAGATCTGTTTGATTTAGTCTTCATGATGTTAGTTTTCCCAACTGAAAAAAAAATCTGAGCCCATGTATGGTGACATACATTTGTGGTTACTGAGACAGAAACTAAGAGTCAGCAGCGTGACAGAAAGACCTCATCTGGGTTTCTGTTTGACTTATAGTGGTCTGTTATATTGTTGCTGTTGTTATTTAATTAGATAGGGTTCTGGCTATGTAGTTGAACTTCTGATCCCTCTGCTGGGATTACAGATAGAAACCCACCATGCTTTGAGGCCTACCTCTTAAACAAAATAGAGTACCTAGAACTTCTCAATAAGTCAACCTTTGGCTTATCTTAAACTATCTGATGACACTGGGCTTATATTTCAGCGAATCTTGATTATAGTTAAGTAGTTGGTGTCTCTTGCTCACTCTCCAATAGCTGTAGGCTCCACATCATCTTTTACAGTCTGTCATTAGTTGCTTGCCAGGTTCCTTTAAACACTCAAGGTTGTGACTCAGACCTACTCCCTTCCTTCCTGTGTTCCTGAGTTCTGACTGACACTGAGCATCCTGAAGTAGCCTCCATGCCTCCATACCTCCAG